ATCCCTTTGGCCCCTTGTTTAGTCCTTATACTCACATCAAATCTATAAACCACCTCACTTTTCTCTACTTTCAACAAAAGTCCATAAACGGTTTATTGTTTATCCATGACAAATGGCTCAGTTTTGGCATATTTGACATCTTCACAACCCATTTCTCTATTGTGCATATAATGCTTGTCTCATTTCTCATGCACGCTGCCAAAAGCAAAAATGCAAGCAATATAAGTCAGTTAAAGATATTTGCTGAATTAAGTGCTAAATTGAAATTGATAACATTCAGGAACTAATCTGCAGGATTGGTGAAGAAAATATGGTAGAGACTGCATCTATCACAGCAACTGCACTTTGAAATCAACCTGCTTTGTACAAATTGTATCAAGGAGAAAATACGTTATACAATTCAGTTACTGAATTTGGATAAAGCTGTTTTAGATGCTCCTCTGTCTAAATCAGTGTTTTTCTTCCATGTTTGAAAAATACTGGTCTATATGTAATTTTTTTCCATGCCCAGGTCAAAGGTATAGTAATATTAGAAACTCCTGGTGCCACTTCTTGGGCTCAGCCTGGGCTGTGATCCTACCACATGCTTTGGACATACTTTGGCTCCTGCTCTAGATCTGTTGAATAGACTACAATGTGTTTTGCATCTCACTGCGGTTTAATTAATCAGAGAACAGCCTATTGTGATGCTGGGTTTGTTTGAGGAGGACTGTCAGTTAAAATATCTGTCAGTTCAATTTGTTGATTTAAACAATATAACATCAAAAGGAATCAGCCTGCTGTATATTTGTTTTTTAAGTTGACATAAAAATTAAGGAGTTAAACTTTAATCTATATACCCAGTAATTAAACCCCACTGAGATCAATAGAATTTGCATATATGAGATTCCAGTATATGTAAAGAGGACTAAGTAGAAGAAGTAATCTCTAACTGGGTATTCAAAAACTTATTTATAACCATAGCACTTACTAGATCAAAAATCATATACATGAATCAGACAGGTATTTGAATTAGGCTTTTTATCTAGACCAGGGTTCCCCCTGGGGGTGTGAGAAGATATTCCAGGGGGGGTGCGAAAACTTGGGTTTTCAAAATTATAGTATTTATGCATAATTCGTTGCTGTTATTTTGAACTTTTATAAGGGATGCAAGAATATATCAGAAGCGTTCTAGGGGTGCAGGGTATAGAAAGATTTGGGAGCCACTGATCTACACACTGCATAGAATCTAACCAGATGAATGTGATGTTGAAAGAAAAATCTTCATTAGGGTCCAATCCAAGCTGGGAATAAACAACATGAGAATGCTTTAGAAAGGTTTTAGTTCAGGCATGTTAAACTGCTGGCCCACGGGCCGGATATGTCATGCTGAAACTGCGCTCACCCCATTGCCAGCAATGGGGGGAAACACGATACGTCACACAAGGTCGTCACACAAGGTCAGGAGTTTGACATGCCAGTTGTAGTTTATTGAAGAGGAGAGGCAGACAGAAAGATGGCTCTGGAAAATACAATTGACCACATGGAGCAGTGGTGGGCTTTTATACCTTCTGGGGCTTTTGAGGTTGTTTCCTGTTCTTGTTTGAGGCTTTGTATTTCCTGTGTCATGTACTTTGACCTGAGTCTGAGTGTGCCCTTTTGGTATTGGTGGGTTAATCCTATTATGTCCTGTCTTAAGAGTTTGGGTGGAGTATGTAGATTTTAAGGGTCCTAATTTCTTCAGTTTCTAGCTGGAAGGCTCCAACCTTTCTGAAAGGATTATTGAATTTGCATTTCTAAAGGATGGCTTTTGCCTAGGGACTGAGCTGATTTCTGGAGGCTGGTTTCTGTCTTTTCTTTTTAAAGATCTTTTCCATTATTCCTTTGGGAAATATATTCTGCCTTTTTAATATTTCCCAAAATATTTCTTTCTCTGAATTCTTCCCACAGTGACTATATAAATATTCTGGAATTATAAATCAGGTAAATAGCATTTTTCTGGGCCAAAGATGATTTCAATTAATTAACAATTACATCACAGAAAGAAATAGAGCAAAAACTTTGTGGCTTTGCTACAGCACATCAAAAATAGTTATAGCCTGATTTCTTAATATGTTCATACACAAGGGAATGGTGTGGTTTCTAGAAACCCCAAGGTTGAATATTAAACCGATAAGTTATTTCATAAATAGCAGATTATGCAGATTGCATAACTTTTAATCCAGTTAGAGGGAAGAAATTGTCATATGTCAGCAAAAGTTTAGTTTGATCAATCCTATGTCTTATAATGGTAGCATGTGCAGATGAGGACATGTGACCTTGCACATCTGACAAAATTAGATAGTGGCCATCAAGAACAAGGGCAAAGTTCATAAAAATTGGATTTGACTTTCCCAACTGAGAACATGCTCACAGTAAGGGGACAAAGAACATACTGAAATACAAAAGGGCTTACACAAGATATTAAATCATAAAACATGTGCAAATTGTAGTATGTAGTACAATATCATAAACCAGAAACAAGCCAACTACATTCTGATGTAATAAGTGAGTTCAGACATTGTTAAAATCCAATGCTATCCTAGTTACAGTGGATCTGTCCAGAATGCCTCTCCAGTGTTAAGAACCTTAATGTGTAACTGAACTGATTAAATGTTGATAATCCCTCAGGACTAAATAATGAGCTCACACCCTGCATAATGGGTAGCAAGTAATCTCAAAACATTCTATGTGGCTTTATAGAGCAGACTTTTTGTTTCCCACTTTCTTTTGATGTTCCTTCAATACACCTAATGTGGGTCTTGGAAATGGTCCAACACAATCCTTAACAAATCTCATTAGATTTCTACACTGTCTTTTTGAAGATCTTAGGTCTTCTAATAACAAACTATTTTGTGGGTGTTCACAGCCATATCTATTATGTGAACAGGCAAATATTCATATATTTTGTATGTATATTTACAACAGTTTCTCCAATTTCCAACTATCCCCACCAGTCCAAAAAGACTGCTTGCCCTGATTTATTAGTTGTGTTTACTATGTACATAAAAACATCCAATCTATTTTAAACCATATTTTAAACCATTTTTTGCACACAAGAAACTCACTTATGTGTTCTCTCCTTGGGAATCCATGCACAAAAGATTTACAGCAGGTTCTTTTTGCTCTCTAACCTTGCCACACATTCCTTTTAAGTCTTGGAAATGAGTCTTCATTTCACTGAGTTTCTATATAGTAGGTCCCAAACATTGGATAAAATGCCTGTTCAGCCCTCTAGAGTTACACCTGATAGTGCCCAGCATTTACCTCCTTTGAGCTATATGTACTGTACTTAGCTTTTAGGAAGAATTTTTACCCATGTGTGCAAATGTATCTGCGACACAAGTGTATTGGGTTTCTCAAGAGTGTAGTTAGCTGTTGTGTAGATATAACTCTACTACATTTTATGTCTTGTGTCACTTCTCTGACATACCTGGGGCACTCAGCAAAATCTATTTTCATGTTAAAAGGACAGGGGAGAGACATCCTATGATATTGGAATGAAGGAGTATCCAAAATGTAGAACCAGACACTACAATCTTTGATGCCATCTGCCATCACCATACTAGTATTTTCAGTCTTCAGTCTATCCACTTTCCCCAGAAATCATACTTCTTGTTTTTAATGGTAGTTAACCAAGAAATAGCAAACTTTTCTTTGCCAGAAAAGCATGTTTCTATTAGGAAGGTCCAACCTGCCTGGTCCAAATGAATGTAATTTAAGTCACAATTCTTCAACTGCCCATTTCAGTGATATCACTGTCAGCATTCACTCACTTGGCCTTTGGCTGCTGTAGGAGGAGCAAAGCAAATGTTTGGTTCATGCTGGGGACATAGTTCCCCAATCTCTTGCAATTTAATTAGCAATTGAGTTGAAGTAGAGACTGACCAGGAAGTGCTGCCTCAGTCAAACTGAGGGCACTATGCTCTGTGGCACTCTGTGGCACCAAATCCTCTGCAAGCTGAAATCAAGAACCAATAACTGATGATTTGTAGCCCAACATGTGTATTATACATTCATAGGACACACAGCCTCCTTCCTCACCCAACCTTCTGTATCTAATTAAGTGCTCTTTATTTAATTTACTCCTTATACAGGGCACTTAGATTAATCTAATGAGGTTATTTACTTGAGTCATCTGAGTATTCCAGGTGGTATTCTGCATTAAAATAAACGCAGAATAAAAACGCTTAGCAGCATTCATTAAAAGCAATATAAAATGAGTTAAAAGCCTGACAAAAAGTCCATGCTGCGGTAAAAGCAACTTGGAGTGCTATTACTCTGCCTTGTTCAATTGATTTGCTATGCTGGTTCAGCCTGTAGTGTAAACCGTGGCAGCGTGGATGAATCAGTCACTAGAGTTTAGTATGTTCTCTAACAGAGCCTCAATTTGTTATTACATAGGCCTTCATTGATGAGGGAGATGCAATGGATCCTTATGAACCTTATTTGTCATACATCTATAAGCTAGTTAGCCAGGCAACCAAGAAGTTACAGAAACCAGAGGGAAATAAAATAGGGAAGGTGCAGGGGATTGAAAGACCGGCAGAATAAATAGCGACAGCATTCATAAGAAATGTTAACATTTCTGAATAAATTTGGCAAAAGGTGGTACATAACAGTGATACAGAAATATGTACTGTACATGTGAAAAAACCTATTGTACTGTACCCTGAATGAAGAAAGAACATAGAACAGGGGTAGGCAACCTTGGCTCTTTTATGACTCGTGGACTTCAACCCCCAGAATTCCTGAGCCGGCATGGCTCAGCTTGGAAACCTTTCCCTTTCCCTTCAGCATGGCTGCCTGAGGAATTCTGGGAGTTAAAGTCCACGAGTCATAAAAGAGGCAAGGTTGCCTACCCCAGACATAGAACAGAAAGTTGAAAGGGACCTTGGAGGTCTTCTAATTCAACTTTCTGCTCGAGCAGGAGATACCATTTCAGACAAATGGCTGCCCTGTCTCTCATGTCCAAAGTGACAGCGTAGAAATCCTGCTATTTCTCTTTTGCATGCCATCACTTACTGTCGGCCCGGCTCTACTTTGCTTTGCTTCTTCTGACTCTTCGGAGTCAGCATAGCAACTTTTATGGATTTCAATCCTCAGAATTCCCAAAACGCCAAGCTTGAGACACGCAGCTACAGAGGTTCCCCTAGGACGCTTTATGTAAATATCGCGGCTCTCATCCAATCCGCTTCTCCCCGCGCTTTCTTCCAGCCAGCCTTTGCCTGCAGCCGCCTTTGCGGGGTAGAAAAACCTGGCAGTCATTTGGCGGCTGCCGAAGAAGTAAAGGCGTCTGCGATGACAGAGCCCGCCTCCTCCGGAGTTGCCCTAGCAACCAAGTAATCCACATTTAGCGGCAAAGTCTTGCACCGGGTCAGCAACTGGGAGTGGATAGTAGTAACTGTTTAGGTAACCGCTTCTTGAAGAGTTGAAGGAACGCGAATTGGGCAGAAGGTGGAGCTAAAGGGCTAGGGGTGGTTGCCTTGGTTTTCACGAGAATAGGGACGCTAAAAGCACAGGTGGGCAACAGTAATAGAGAGAAAATCAACCGGTGCAACATCTGTCCACGGTATGTAATAAAATGCATCTATCGGTTTTCTTCTTTTACGGGGAGCAAATAGGTGCAAGGGCTTCAGTTTCTCTTTTGCTGTAGGACTATTTGAAAGATGCCCATAAAGTCCTTGTTTCATTATTTATATATCTGCCTTCCTATCTTGTGTCTTAGTTGGCCTCAGAATTATCACTTCAACCCTCTTGTTGCGCTCCAGTAGATTTTTCTGAGCCTGTTGGCCAAGATAAGATTCTAGTCCACATGCCTAGAAGATGTTTTATTTTATTTTTTAAAATTTTATTTTATTTTTTTAAAATAACAGTCTTTAGTGCTTAGTAAACAATGTGTTGTCTGATTCATATATTTAACAACAGTCAATAATAGTTAATTTCTATGTTTTCATAATTAGGATGCTAACTAAAAATACCTTTCCTTAGTCCTCTCTTCTTCCAATAGTTTTACCAACATTGAGCAAATATATTCTTAGTACTATAATACATACGAATCTTGAGTATAAATATTTTTCTAATATTTAACAATAACATCAATATGTAATGTCTTTTCTAATCAGCTTATTTTACATTTGCATTTGCAAAAAAACAACTTGTGTAAATCACTATAAGTGCTGTTTTCAGAACTCTTATTTAAGCTTAGTTTCTCCTCAGTGTTCAAGACATTTCTTGTCAGTTATAGTTTTCTTAAAATTGATTACATTTAAATATCCAAAATATTTCATGAATTTAAATCATCCCAATATTTTTACATTTCCCATATCATAAAAAATACTATATTACTTATAAATCACATCTTTCTTACTATAAAGCCCCTTCATATCCAAAATTTGACTATTCTTTTAACCATATTCAGACAAATGTTTGGTCATATGGTACTCCATCTGATATGTCTGATCATCTCTCTTAAATTTGGTTCTGGCCTGTTCTTATTTAAGCTTAGTTTCTTTTCAGTATTCAAAACATTGCTTATCAATTATAATTTTCTCCAAGTTGATTACATTTAAACATCCAAAATATTTCATTGGTTTAAATCATCCCATTATTTTTACATTTCCCATATCATAAAGATATACTATACTACTTATAAATCATATCTCTCTTACTATAGAGCCCACACATATCCAAAATTTAACTATTCTTTTAACTATGTTCAAACAGTCATGTAGTACTCCATCTGGTAGGTTAAATCATCTCTTTTGAGTTTGGCTCTTGCCTTTTCCTTTTGCCAAACAGCTTTCCAAGTCAGTGTATTCAGCTTGCCATAGGATTCTTCCTGTATTTTTATTTGTTAAGAATGGGAAAGATAAATTAGGTAAGGTGCTTTTGAGGGGGAGTTTCTCCCATTTATATTCGTTAAGAAGCTTCTACTTTTCTTCTCCCTCATTTTCTCTTTCCATTTTTGTCTCCCACACTCTAGTGATTTTCCTAAGACAGTGTTTCTCAACCTTGACAATTTTAAGGCACGTGGACTTCAACTCCCAGAATTCCACAGCCAGCAATGCTGGCTGTGGAATTCTGGGAGTTGAAGTCCACGTGCCTTAAAATTGTCAAGGTTGAGAAACACTGTCCTAAGAGCTCTATTGTCCATTTTATCAAATCTTCTTTCTTCAGGTTTGTTTTGAAGTTCTGAAAAATAAAATGTCTTTTCCATTTTGAATGTTATAGCAAAATCTTGCAAATTTTTCTTTGTTTGTGTTAAGCTGTAATTTTCTTCATTTGTAGCCTCCATCTTTGGATCACTTTTCTCTAGTTTTTGTTCTATTATCTGATTTATTTGTTGATTCATTGTCACCATTTTCTGAGAATTTTTTAAGGATGTGCTCATTTAAATCACCAAAATTATTTTTAATCTAATTATGATTTGAAACGATTGTCATTTGAATTAGTTGCAACATAGCATACATTTCCTCCTGAAAAATATTTGTCTTGTCTTGAAGTATTATTCCTGCAGATCTCTGATGTTCCAGACTGGGGATTTTAGAAAAGAATATTGCATGTGGTTTCTTACTACTTTTCATTGTATATGCAACTTCCATTTTCATCAAACCAACCAGTCTTAAATTCCAAACACTATAGTCTAATATGTCTCTTATTTTTATAAACAGTCCAAAATGTTCAACCACTTAAAAACAATCCAATAGTTTTCCCCCTAGAAGAATATCCAAAAAATCAAAGTTTTTCTTTCTCTGCAGACAATTCTTAAACTTAAATATCAGAACTCAGTAGGTATTTATAATCCAGGAAGGTCAACAGTTTTCATAACAATTATATTTCTTATTCTATAATAGATAGCTCAGTATGTTTTTTTTCCTCTTTTCCCAGCTGTTCTCTATTTAGCTAAGAATCACTGAGGATCAAAGGGCTAGATTGTACTCTGTTTCTGGGTATTTTGCCATTTTCTGAGGCAAGCAGCTGTAGTTCTATACTCTGTTCCACCACTAGATGTCAGTAGCTGTTTATTTTCCAACTTTTAAAACAAAAAGTTTATTTTCTTATAGTTTCATCAATATTCTTTTAAATAGAAAGTCTTAACGATTTCCATAGTTTTCAGTTTTATCCAAATTATATATTTACATTAGTCCATTTCAATGTATTTCTGCCCCCCATAAAAATTAAATCGCCGCTTCCGTCTATGGAAGGGTGGAGTTTTAATCCCCTTCCTTCTCATTTTTGGAGGATTTTTTTGCTTCTTAGGGATCTTTTCCAGGAAATTAGTTTCAAAATAGAGAAGAGAAGATCAATTTTCTCACCCAGCTCCAACACGCTGTTCACAGTTGTTCTTAGTTGGTGCTTTTGGACTTAGGATGCCAGTAGCTTGGGCTAGTCACTGGAATGCAGCTAGACTTTCTCCTGTTGGATTGGAGGGCTTCCCCCAGATCACGCGGATCAACCGCCGTTGTTCCATGATCAATGGGGGGGGCTCTCCTTCTTCATCACCTCTCTGGGATGACTTTAGACCCATATAGGATCCCCTGGCAGGGCGAAACCAGCCATGGGGTGCGGAGCTCCTCAATCCCCCAGCCATGATGCTAGATGCAAAACTGGAAGTCTCTCTGCCTCGAAGATGTTTTAAAAGGTCTTCAAAAGGACATTATGCAAAAAGACCCACTGAAATATAGGACGTTTCCTAAAAGCATCTCCCTCCCTCCTCCTGTAATGGTATCCTGAAATGAGAACATTTTGCCCTTCTCACCAATGCCAACACCAAGTCTGTTCATATTCAATTGAAATAAGATTCTGGCCACTTTGCTAGAATTCACTTACAATCTTCGTTATTTTATAGCCTGAAAGCATTAACTCTGGAAAATGTCAGATGAGGAACCGGATGATGAAAATGATACTGAAGAAGAAGTTGAAGAAAAGAAAGAAGAAAGGGAGGTGGAGGTGGAGGTGGAAGGTGAAGGCGAAGGGGCTGTAGAAGAGGAAGAGGTAAAACACGTTAATATTCACTGTATTTTTTCAAATATATATAAAATATAATTCCTTTATTCGTTCATGGAATTTATACAATACCTCAACCCAGGCAGTAAGCAATTTGTTGAAATTACATTAAAACTGGAAAATGTTTTCTCTACCCATCAAAATCAATGCAATTAAAAAAAAACTTAATGTAGTTCTTAATATAGCCTATGTAGGATGCTCTTTGCAAAAGAATACCCACAAGTTCCCTTTCTAAAGGAGCTTCTGTTTTAAAAATGTGTAAAATAAGACATTCCTGTCAAAAAAGAAGAAATAGTGAACAGGTTTGACCTTTTTATAAATAAAGTAAATGTATGTGTACAGGTCTCAGAACATCTCTGAGTGAGATAATGGATGCTGATTTTAAATAAAATTGTCAGCTTACAACCCATGGTTTAGTTCACTCATCTCTACTCTCAATTTTTTTTTATCTTTCTCTCTCCCCCATTCCCCAGCTTGTCCACTGTAGTGAAGAAGACATCAACCACATGCATGCAAAGGAAGGCATGCAAAATGTAGAAGGAAATGTGTGAGAGAAAAAAATAACCATTGTCTCATTATTCACTCTTCAGATACAAAAGGATTGCTGTGACTTGATAATGTTGCTTTGTATCTTTTCTTGACTGTGCTTTTTTCCCCCACAGCCCCAAGTTTCAACCTCTCTCAATGAGGAGATGGTGAAGGAAGGCCTCTCACTTTTATGTAAAACTGGCAATGGTCTTGCTCACGCCTTTGTGAAATTAGAAGTCAGAGAAAAGTAAGTGCACAGACATAATGATAACTCACCACCTGATTCCATTTTTCTAAGAGTTTGGTCTCCTTGCCACGGGCTGTTATTCCACTTCCTGATGGAATAGATATGTTTAAGGAAGGCACTAGAAAGCTGATAATTGGGGAATAATGTAATTTTCCTCATTTTGTGACAGGGAACTGACAGATGTCACATTCATCCATAATTTCATCCATCTACGGTATGTAGACTTGTCAGACAACTTGCTCCGTGACCTCTCTCCATTGGCATTTCTCAGACATTTGCTGTGGCTGAAAGTGGATAATAATCGGTTAATCAGTGCCAGCATAGAAGAGTTGCCCTACTTGCAGATTGCAAGCTTTGCCAACAACCACATCAAGGATTGTGATGGCATTTGCCACCCACGTTTGGTCAGCCTAAACCTGAGAAGTGAGTGGGTATATACTCAAGGATTCCTCTGAACCTAGAGGGAAATGTTTTGCAGAAAAGGAATCCTGGACAATTAATTCTCTTATCACTGCCTATCATTCTCCTATCCAGGCAATGCAATTGAGGTACTATCCGGACTGAATCCAAATATCCTGTCAAATCTGCACACAGTAGAGTTACGAGGAAACAGTCTAAAGTCTACAGCTGGAATCTACTTGCCTAAGCTCAAAAACCTGTACCTGGTAAGGGAACTTGTCCTTAAAACCCTTTTCACCTTTTCACTATATATGAAACTAGATATGTACATAACTATACTACAGAGTTGTATAGTTATATAGTCTACAGAGAACCCTGGGGAAGCTTGATGATGGGAAAGGTAGGGGGTGCAAATGAAAATCTTCTCTTTTTTGCCTTGTTAAAATCCATTTTTCCAAGTCGCTGTTACTTCAAGGGTAGCCCCATCTCCAAGGGATTTTCCTTTGGAATATATATAGCAGCTTCAAAAACACAGTTTAAGCCTGATTGTGGCAGGGTTAAAAAGAAGATGTGTTAATTGCATAGTCTGATCTTTTGTATTTCAAAGTGGATATGATTTCAATCATTAATATATAGAATTACCATCCAATGTTAGCTCACAATTTCCCAAGCTTGACTCCAATTTCTGTTGGTTAATCAGTGTAATGATTTTACAAAGAACTCCAGAGGTCGGGGTTCAGATTCCCATTCTAATTCCCATAAAGCCCACTGAAAGAAGCAGCCACATTCTCGGCAGTCTAACAGTGTTATTAGTGAGGTTAAAAAAAGAGTGGGAAGACAGAAATCATGCTGGGCTCCTTGAAGAAAGAAACAGCATAATCATGAAATTAACAATAACAACAAAATGCCAGTGTTAAAATTGATCACTGGGGAATATAGAGGGGAGGGAACATTAGTGATGATTCAATTTCATGACATATCATGTGCCAAGAATGTGATTGTGCTCTTGCATATTTGTTCATCTTAGGCAATATCTTTATTACACTTGAGATCACAAAAATCAAACTGTCAAGATATTCAGGTCTCCTAATCAGGCAAAATGTAACAAAAAGACTTATAGGAGAGAGGCAAATGCTGATTTGATTCTAAAGCCATAGAATCTATAGAGTTTAGATGGAATGCAGGCAATCCGTCTATCCCTCAATTTTCCCCTACCATTGTAAAGCCCAGATGAGGCTTGGAAAAAGATATCCCTAAAATTAATTAATTGCAAACACATGACTGGTTTATAAAATCTCTTATTCCTCATTATTGGGTGAATATACTCTTACTCAGCTCTGATGTTCTGTTCTCTACAATATCTTCTTTTTTAGGGTCAGAATGCTATTAGTCATCTAGAGGACTTAGAAAATCTGGAGCAACTCACAACTTTACACCTGCGTGACAATCTAATTGAAGTGTTGGAAGGCTTCTCAAGCAACATGAAATCTCTTCAGTACCTCAATTTACGGTATGTGGGCTTCTGTATAGAATAACAAAGTCACCTTGGAAATAAAGAGAAAATAATATGAGAAGTTATGTTTAAACCATGTCTTCCCAACAAATATCAATCTTTAGTTTTTTACAAAATGTAGTAGAACATTACTCCTATACATTGGTTGCATTAGATCACAGCAACAGGGACAACCTTACATAGTTGTGATTAAAATTTTGGATATGAAGTGGAGACAATGGATTTAAGTTTACCAATAAGTCACATTCATTCTCCCTCCCCAAACAAGGTAGGAAATGGGGCAAGGGCACAGAAGAGGCATCTAAATCATATAGCAATTATGAAAATAATAATACATGACATTTTTTGTTCAAAATGAAATGTTAAGGTCATTGAAAATCAAGAGGTCTACTTGCAACTACAGTAACTCTCATTTTGCATCTTAAAGCATAATCACAGTACGTTCCCATTAGTGACTTCTAAAATCTTCCTAGCATCACTCAAACATCACTGAGGCAATATAAAGCTTGTTCTCAATGTAATTACATCAGTACAATGATTATTCAGTGATTGAAGACAATACTACCGGTCACTAATAGGATCTGATATAAGATACCTTGATATGAAGATGATAGATTCGTAGAAAATAAAGAGTAGCAGCCAGCAGACTTTTAAAGCTTCTAAGACATTTGATCTATCTGAACAGTGTGATTTAAACAGTTGTAACTTAAACAATTGTAATTTAAACAGTTGCAGTTCACAATAATTATTAATTCCTACTGATCCCAGTTAGTCCTAGATGGCGGTTGTTTTTATTGTTGCTGTTGTTATTATTATTAATGACAGTTAAATTTAAATGTCTGTTCTGTGCCTAGAATAGCTTATTATGACCATAGCTTAATGGGAAGATTCTGACACCAGATGTCTTCTAAAAGTAAATGATTGTACAAGGAGACCTACAAAGGAAACATTTAAAAAAAAAAATTCTTACTTCCTTTTTTAAAAAATACACCATTTATTCTTTACATTTCCTTTTGAACCTATTGCTTTCTTTTAAATTGTTATTTTCCTAATAGGGAACATTTTGTAAGGCAGGTGTCTCTTTCCCATTCCTGCAGGGGAAATGCAGTTGCACAAGTACAGGAATTGGAAAAGTTGCAAGTGCTGCCCATGTTAAGAGCCCTGGTTTTGTTAGAGAATCCTTGTTCTGATGAGGCAGAATACCGTCTAGAAGCCCTGGTTCTGCTCCCACACCTGGAGCGCCTCGATAAAGATTTCTTTGAGGAAGAAGAACGCAATGAGGCTGCGGAGATACGTCAACGGCGAAAAGAAGAAGAGTTGGAGTTGCAGAAAGAAAGAGAGAGAGAGAAGGAGCTTGAAGTGAGACAAGGAAAAATTGATTTTTTTCTAATTAGAGGGATGTGAAGTATAAAGGACCGAGCCCTTTTGTCTTTTCTTACAATTGCCTTAGATATTTTCTTTTAAGTATACAGTGGTGCTACAAATGGATCATAATTGAGAAGTGGGCACAGGGAGAATATGTTATGAGTACAGGAAGGAGATGAATTCTATTTGGATAATAACATTCCTTGCCTAGGTTGTTAAACCATTTTGTGTAGTTGTTTAGTCTTGAATGGTGCATCTGGATAGCTCTTGTGAACTATAATACGTTTTATATTACCTTAATCCTTAACAGTATTCCATTATGGCATCAATTTGTTGAAATACAAATCTGTTTTAATTGAAAGGGATCTGGCCCATAAAAGCTTAATTTCATAATAAATTGTTTATTTAACAATTAAACAGTGATCTTTAAAATTCTACAACATATGTTGTATTTTTCTGTAGCATATTGTTATGACTTTCCTTTGGAAATTTGTAAACAAATGCAAAGTTGGCAGAGCACAGGAAGAGAAAAATAATGTCTAATTTAAGAAATTACAAATGTATTGGAGTCAAAAGATTCTGTTGTTGTGTGGATAAAAATGTGGTTCTACAATGTCACTATCTCTAAAGGGGCCTTTGGGAAACAAAATAAATCATTCCATAACAGAATGAAAGGAAGTAGGAGATGGTGCTATCTATATATATAGCAGGAATTTTACAGCTGTAATTTTTTTAAAAAGCAGAGGAAGCAAACAGACATTATTGGGAAACCACTGAAAAAAACCAATAACTGATAATATCATTTTATAAAAGTATGGTGCAACCACACTGAGCAAAGGATATAATATCTATAAAGGAGGTATTGAGAATCATATTAAGTGAAGATACGCCAGATGTATACAAGGATGTGGGTTGAGTACAAATAATCAATAAAAGTGATAAACTGTAACTCAAAATAAAACATGCGCACAGAGATTCTTCAGCATAGACTGCATAACTGAATATCAAATACACTAATATATGGACACTATCCCTATCTTACAAAACTTTGAAATTGTACTAAGACAAATGTGTAGGAAAAAATTTGATTATTCCATTATTCCAAGAGTATATACACCCCTGACTTATAGATGGATAAAAGCATACCTGCTTAACGTAAAGGTACTTCATTGTTTATTTTTTGTAAAATCCACAATATGCCCTAGAATTGTACAAAAATAAAAGGCAAATAATTCACTGGGGATGCCTCCTTCAAGTGAAATATCCAGATTAATAGGGGCTGATACTCTTGCTACTTCCAATAGAATTTGCCAAGGAGAGTGTCTCTGAAGATTATATTGTTTCTATCTACTATCTGGGCTATTATAATGATAGTAATTGAGAATAACTCGCTTATGATGCAACTTATATACTTAGAGTATGCCTGATGCTTTGCCACTCTACGATAAGATCCTCATTTGGAAATACTCTGAGCTTGTTCTTTCTCCCCATATTTTTCAGGAAGCAGAAGACACCACTCAAGAAGACTTAACGACTGAGTGACAAGTATATGTAAGTCCACGGAAAGGAGTAGGAGCTATAAGCTACCTTCCAGAGTCTTCTTCCCTGTGTTATACAGCTCTGACCCAGTTAGCACTAATCTTGTCATGTTGCAACAGAAGTGTATTGTATAGTTCCTGAATAGAACCATAGTGGGTAGCATTTGTGGATGGTTGTCTGTTCTTTCAATAAGTTGTGATTGAAGCATTTCAATAATAAAAAAAATGAATCTGATGAAGCAAGGCAAAGCGTGTTGCTTTTGGCATCCCATTTCTGCAGCACTATCTCCCCCTCCCTTCCTGAGTTGCTCCATCCTCTACGTGCTGTTTGCAAAGCTCCTTAGAAATCCTGACTCATCGTCAGCTCTAGGTCACATGCTGCCATCCTGGCCCTATCAGGGGCGGCACTATCCCACCACTGCTGCTGTTGCTGCTCATCCAGCTACTGGCTCAGAGGAATCAGACGCTTTGCTTCAAGTCCTGCATCTTTCAGCTCACCATCTAACTCCTCTTAGCAGCACTGCACTAGGAGGGTAAGTGCCACCCCCCTATCTCCCCCCTGTCCAGTAACTTAACCCTGGTTCTCAACAATTATCTTTTTAAGATTATTCCCTTAAGGATTACAAATAGTGTCTTTGCCATTCTGAATCAATTTTTTTTTCGTGTTATCTGTCTAACACATGACCTTCTGAGCTTTCTGTCTCACATTTGGCAGCTGCAAATTCCTCTCTCTGGATGTTGTGTTTGTGGTACCTGATCAGAACTGTGGACTTCAGAGTTGGGGACTGAAAAAAGTGATGCATCTTAACAGAAATGTGCAGGAAACCTGATAAGTCTTTTTCACCCTAGGGATCAAGCTGAATTTTCCCATTATCACCACCTATAGGCAAGTAGATGGTGCCATTACAGACTGTACCCCAACTATGATTGACACGGAGTGATATATCATTCATTGGACACCTGTGATCCACTCTGGGATCCTGAAAGGAAAGCAATGGCAGCCTGATAATCTCTTACTGCATCATCTTAAGATGATGGTGTGCTTTCCAGTGTAATTCTTTGCTTGCATCAGGGAAAATGAAGATGTGGATGGGTTTCGTGCTACCAGTGCCTTATCTGAAAGCCTGGAGCAGCGGTCCATGCCGATATAACAACATTCAAACAGCTTCCCATAGAAGCTTTTATCATCTTGATCCCTGTGGCTTTCTGGGGCTCCTTGGCTGTGTCTCCTTCTCCTCCTCCCTGGCCAATCCTTATCCCTGCTTATCTGAGCCTGACCTCCTTTCAGAACCAAACTGCTCCTGGTGCTTCTGATTTTTCTTACTGCTGGCTTGGAAAGTACTTGTGTGGGAGAATGGGAAAAAACAAGAGCTGATGAAAGGAACTGAAAAATGAGGATCAATGTGACTGGGGTCAGAAGGTAGCTCGGATAAACTCAGCTTTTCTGAACCTAAGAGTCTTTGAAGGATGAGGTCAAGGCAAAAGATACACCGAAGCAATAAAATGTTCTAACCGCAATCAGTACTGGAATGACTCAAGTGTATCAGTAGGACTGATGAACGGAGAATTCTAGATTGCTTACACTTTGGACTCTGCCAAAGAAATGCTGACACTAATGGAATCCTCAATATGGATGCCAATCAATATATGACAGAATGTAGAGAAAAAACAAATAGTCTCCTGATACTTGAACAGAGAAGTTTCTGACCTCCTAGTTGAATCTTGCTGTCTCAGAATGACAGTCTGGGATAACAGGTCAGGACGATGGGTTGGCAGGGAATATATACTTTCAGGATCCAGAAAATCACTTAAAGACTCTGAAGGCTTTTCTTGCAAAGTGATTGCTATTTTTATGGATTAAAATAGATAGGACAGAAGAAAGAAAGCTTAATTCTGCCACAGTTTATACTATATGCTTAGTCTTTTCATTTGCCCGTTCCGGGTCAGCCTTCATCCCGAGTCTCATAGGGGTCTCTCTCTCTCTCTCTCTCTCTCTCTCTCTCTCTCTCTCTCTCTCTCTCTCTCCTAGACCTGTTGTGGTTTTCATTCCGTTCTGTAGCCTGGTATCTGCATCACTGTGGTGCAGGTAGAGAAATGCCCACAAATATCTTCCTGATGCCATTAAAGGGCAATATGGCTTCATCATTCTTATTTTCCTTTCAGATTATAGGTATTGCTAAAAAAAAACAACCTACAGTTTAGCACCAGGCAAGAAGGGGATGGTTGAGTAAGGAGGCAAATCAACTAACTATGGGAAGGAGGCTTCACTGGGAAGGAAGAGAGCTGAATTTTGCATTCCTTTCTGGATCTGTCCACTTTCAGAGTTTCTGATAAGAATGGGTAGACCCCCTACTTTCACGCTAATGAAGCAATTGACTGTTTCTTTCTCTGAACACTTCATTTGTACTCTTGACATCTTTATGTTCAGAATATCAGAGTTCGTCAGAAGACACATAACCCAATCTTATAGGGGTGTAAGAGTAGACCTAGTTCTCTGTGAGACCTGTATTGGAACCAAGAAAGAATTATGTGGGAGGTGCTCTGAGATTCATGAAGGGATTGTAGTTCTTAAAATAAATACGTGCCTCTTTTTAGGCATGAGAGCTCCTTTGTGTGATTGCTGGTATCTCTGGTCAACCACCTGTCTTGTATCTATAACATGTCAGTTGTTCAGATAAAATGTAAATAACATGAGCGGTAAAAAGCCTTTTTAATTAAAAAATAAGAACACATCCAGCAAGGAAAAATTAAAATTTTCTTTGTAGTAAGGCACTAATCCTGAGGAGTTACTTAGCTCTACTAGTAATTTATTTGTACATACTATATTTATTTATGTTAACTGCATTTGGCTCCTCCAAGTTGTTGAGAGAATACTGGAATGTGTATAGATCTGCTCAGATATAAAAGCAGTTAAGTTCAGCATGTCTCACTTCCAAATAAGTGTAATTAAAATTGCAACCTGAAATGGTTAAAGGAGGAAGCTGTGCTTCCTAGCAAATAAATACACACACTGAAAATAAGTTGTTAAATCCTTACCTTCGCAGTAAAACTGCACATGCCAGGACAGGAGGAATTGTGTTTTTATCAGAGACAAGACTGTGACTATCTTGTCTATTTTATGAGTGCAGAAAAAAAGGAGAAATGCACACAGATCCCAGAGGTAGCTAGAATTCATTTAAGAAAGCAATTTTTCCCTTAGTCTTTACTGTTTTAATTCTTAAATTGTATATAACAGTTCAAAACATGTCAGTCTGGTTCTGATCAATCTCAGAATTTAGGAATAACATTTGCAGAGATAGAAGAACAAGAGCCAAATGTCTCAACTTGTAAACATGCTGAATGATGAACAATTATTCTTGGTATAGAATTTGGGTTGCCTGGGAAGAATTCAGTCCTTGCAAAGAGCACCTGCTCTGTTAAATGATGGTAACGCACACACAACCACTCTGGATCCTACACAATAATGGCATTATCAGGAAAGGCTGCTGTTACCTCCACATCATTGCAATCAAGAAGTGTGCACAGTATAAACTCAAGCTAATGACATTAAATTTGAGAACTATAAAACAGGATATAGGAGAGTATTAATGTTTTGTCTTGCAAGGATAGTTCCACATAAGGCTTTAAAACTGCTTAAATGGGGGGGGGGCGCTCAAACTTATGGTCTCCTGCTGCTGTCTAGTGCTGGGTACCAATCTTGAAGATGGGTGGTGTACTTACCAAATGAAAAGGGAGACCAACGTAGGGGGTACTTATCAGTGGATAACTACCCATCTTCAAGAATTGCAGAGATCTGGAGTTTCTTGCAGAGAACCAGAAGATTTCTAATTTCTTTTGGGCCAGAGGGGAGCTGAAAATAAATTGGGTTTTTACTTTTATTTATAGTTAAATTTAATTTTACGCCACACAAGCAGCATACAACATAGTTATTAATATAATGGAGCAAGCCTATGGTGGATTAACAGTACCAAAAGATGAGTCCAATTTGAGCCATACATAGGAAAGTCCTAATCCAATTCTATGTAGTAAACTGCCCTACTTTCTTTATGGCATAGCTCATCTTTATTTTAATAGGATTTGTATAGGTGACCATCCTGAGTAGATTCTGCCATGGAGGTCCAAATCTGGATTTTCCATCTCGAATCCTCTGTGATATGTGTCATTATTTTGGCTTAGTGCCACCTCTGATATATTAATCATGCCTCATACAGCATAATGCACCTTCATTTGTCTATGGCTTGCATTTGTGTGCTGCTAGACTCCAAATACTTCAACTAATTCATTGTTACTTCTTCATTTATAAAAATTGCATTGTAAGGGGAATTTTGACAAAGAATTTGCAACTACTTCATCAGAACACAATTCCCATAATTGTTTGGAGAAACCACAGTAGCTAAATAGCATTTCTTCAGCTACTAGGGAATATGAATTGCAGGATACTGTTGTATTCACATCCTACGCTGAGGCCTCCCACAAGCATATAGCTGGCTACTGAGAAAATAAAGAGCTGGACTTGATAGGGTGAAGATGTGACACAGCACGGCCATATTAGGTTTTAAACTAATTTAAAAATTTGCTTGGATTCTATTATACATTTGCCATCAGTTTTAATGTACTTCTCTTTCTTTGATAGTGAAGGGAAATAATTTTGGAAGGCAATTTTTTCCCATTATGGAGAATTTATTGTGCTTTTTCAAATTTGGATTAGAAATAGAAAGTGTCTTAACAATAGTATCAGACCTTAAGAATCAACCGGTATGTGATCTAAGCAATTCACACCTAAATTTCCAGCATCATTTTCTAAAGGCAGTTGTAGGATTGGAGGGGAATAGAAATGGGATCAAAGCAGGAGGAAATAAATTATTTTTAAAGCCTTCTGATTCTTGAATTCAAATAAAACCACCTTCCCCCTTTTCAGCTGCCTATTGTTCTCTTTTTATGGGATGATATAAAAGTAGAAGAAAGAACATTCTACTTACAGAATAATATCTGGAAATATTAACTGCATAGTCTGTGATGAAGTAGAAATCAACCATTTGTGGCAGACAGCTAGGTCTCTAGTAAATCTTTGTTAACGTTTGAGTCATAATAAACTAGATTTTTGGTCTTTTCCTGCCCTCGAGTCAAAATACTATCCACACAATACTATTCACCCTTATGTCAGCAGAATATTAGCATGATATGTGCTTTCCCCATTGCCAATCCCTATTTTACCATTTACCTGATTGCCCTACA